TTTATGTCCCAATTTCACATGATAATGAAGGTTTTTAGTTTTGATACAGCTGCCCAATGAAGTAAACCATCTGCCTACTTGAAATTTTAATGAACTCTCTGTACTTTGGAATATTAATAATAATGATACAAGRAAAACTATAGGTAAGATTTTCGTAMGACCTTTGAACAATCCATGRTTACTTGATTGTGCTATGGTTTTGATTGATGGCCTGTGAAGAATCGCTGCAGCTCCTGGTCTTCCTGAAGGGTGTCTATAAAAGGTAAATAAAATAAGGAAAACATTAATAGAGGGTTATAAATAATGCCTACTTAATGGATGGACACAGTGGCTTGACACATCAACATGTGACTGTTCAATGTGACCAGTTAAGAGGACCATAAAGTCTAAGATGCATTTGGCCAGACAAGTGCTGATTCTTGTCAGGCATTGTCCATTGACTGGTTATTCAATGGCCGCACATGATGACCAGCCACATTGGACTGAACAACATGTGACCAGCAAATATGACCAGCATTTGGCCAGACAAGTGCCAATGGTACCGTGCCAATATTTTGGCCAGTGATTTTTTCATYGACTGACCATGATTTGAGCCCTGGTATTAAGTTGTGGAGGCTACCAAGACAAGAAATGTAAGCCCAAGCCAGAAAAGTCTCTTACTATTGTGTACCTTTGTTGTGATGGGTTTAAGCACCTTTCTACCATAGCCAACATTGCACAGCGTAAGTGATCCTGCCTCCTGTTGAAGATTACTGCACCATGACCAACTTTCCTGCCTCCAAATGTACAAGTCTGAAACAAAGTTTAAGTTTTARGCATATGGAACAATTATGATCTAGATAATAATATTATTAAGATTATTATACACACATGTGTAAATGCAGAGGTGAGGAAGGATAGATGAATAGATGGATGGATGAGGGAAAGGGAGAGGATCGATGGAAGGATGGATAGTAGGAAGGAGAGGTGGACGGATCTGGAATGAAACGAGAAAGGAAGGAAAGATGGAACAATAGATGGAAGTAATCAAGAGAYGGAAGGAAGGAAGAACTAGGGTGGCAAAAAGAAAAGATGGATGGATGGATGGTAAAATAGAGAGTGGGAAAGAAGGATGGATGAAAGGAGAGAGGAAAGGCAGAATGGGTGGATGGAGCAATGGGCAGACCTGTGGTTGGGTAGAATATTGGATGCATAGATGGATACAGTACATACACCAGAATACCGACAAWTTTACACTCTTTTTTGCATTGCTTATAACAGAGTGTACAGCTATTTCAGGCATATTAGTTATCTGTTACATTTTCTCAAAGAAGCTTAATATAAAATGTCGTTCTTATGGATTTGAGTGTAAATTGTTTTTATCCAGTCATTCCTTACTTACCGCCAAGGGTTTKGGATGGTAGTTTAAAGATGTAAGGTCATTGTAAGATACAGCATCATCTATTCCATCACTYTCTCCATCATTATTCTTCTGTGGAACACCAGATGTGTCTTCTGAAACTAATAAAATAATATAATGACTTCTTTATATACACAAAATTATATTTSATGACTTAGATAAGCTCCAATCTTGTTCTTACCTTCGCTGGAATTTAACCGCAGAGTATGAGAATTTCTATGAGAAATAAAAGACAGGAATAAAATGTGAGTTCTCAGCCTTGAAGTATGTTCTTTATAATTCCTGATAAGGGGGTTATTGTGTGGATAAGAGATAGGAAAACAGTGGGAAGCCATTTCAGTGTTACAACATGAAATACCATTTACGGTATATGCTGTAAGGTAATACAATGCWTGCCACATATGAAAAATGCTTTACCACGTACTGTTCCTTGCTACACATTAATCTAAACAAACTCTCATGACAGGTAATGGGAAATAGACTGTTTATACAATAAATCTTCAGTGTAAAAAAGGTACACAAGAATAATTCACTAATGGGAGGCCATTTCAGTGTTACAACATGTCATACAGTACCATGTACAAGCTGTAGCTAAGCCTCATGATTGGTTAAGAGATAGGAAAACAGTGGGGATCCATCTCAGTGTTACAACATTTCATACCATGTACATGCTTGTAGCTAAGCCTTGCAATAATATAATGGATAGGAAAACTGTGGGAAGCCATTTCAGTGTCACAACATGAAATACCATTTATATGCTGTAAGGTAATACAATGTTTGCCACTTATATGAAAAATGCTTTACTTCAGTGTAAAAAAGGTACACAAGAATAATTCACTTGATTGATGATAGTTTACTGACTATTAAGCTGTTGCAATGAAAACAGTGGCAAATATATTTATTATTATAGATTATTTTTCAATCCACCTACTTGTCATTTGATGGCTTTGATGTCTGCTCCGTTATCAAACCATTTCCCTTCAGCACACTGTTTTTGTCTGTGTTCTTTGATTCTAGTAGCTTGAGAGCTGCAAGATTTTGCTGCTGTTGCTCTTTCTCACAGTTCGCTCTTGCTTTGTGCTCTGCTAAAAGCTCATCAAATTTTTTCCGTCGACCAGGTACCGCACGTCTTAAAGATAACGCATGAGTCTGAAGAACAAAACCAATAATAAATGATTAAAATGCCTAAATATTAAGGCAATCATAAGACGATTGTAGGAGTAGGGTTAAAGTGAAGCAACAAAGCTGAATGAATAAACCAACTACAAGTGTTCTGTCAATCCCCAAGTGTTTTATAACTCCACACAGCAYGGCAAGCAAGTTTTTTATTTCTTTTATAAAATACAATTAAATAAACCATTATTTTGACATGAATGAGGGTGTGTGCAGATGCATGCTGTGTGCTCTCATAATGCACGTGCTCCCAACCATTAAGAATGTGGAATTAATAACTATGAACTTTATTCTCTAATTTATGCTTACACAATCTTTCAACATTACCTTGCAAGTCAATGATCTAGTACATCTCTTCTTCTGTTCCTCAACCCATACACCACAGTGTTTATCGGCATCAAACTCCCTTTCTGTAACCATAAATTTATACAGACTAACTCAAACATGTTTTTCTTCATGTTTTACAAAATGTATGGGAAATTGTATTGTGTCATCACTTTAATCCTATTTTCATGATTTCCAGCCAAAACAAACCAAAATTGTCTTAAATTTGGCTTTTATCATTGAAATAATTACTTATTAACAGGGCTTAAAACAACAGCCGGTCATCGGGCAATGTCTGCTCAGAATTATAACTTGTCTGTTCAAATCTTTGCCTTTGCAGGAGMCATTTTGACCAGTAACGTTGACCCAGATACGAAGTATAACTAAGCTAAAACTATTTTGGCCTATCATAACCAGCCACTTACCAGCCCTTATTTTAACCCCTTTATTAAGACTACAGTTGAAGATTTGATTGACAGAAGCCAAGAACCTACACATCACAGTCCTCTTTTTCATTCAATACATTTATACCACTGTTAGGTGTATCCTTCTAAGTTATATTCTAACTCACCTCTTGTTGGTATAATCTTTCTAGGTGATTTCCTGTTAGTACTTGAAGACTTTTTCATGGCTGCATTATKTACTGCATTTTGGATTTTCTTGGAAATGATGGCATGGTTTGCTTTGGGRACTGTTAGTGGAACTTCTTCTATTTTCACTGAACTGTCCTCAATTTCAAGCTTTTCAATTTTAATTGCCGCCTGGCTGGGACTAGAGGTCTTAGGTTCCGACTCAAGAAGGATTTCTACTGTCGTACTGTCTTCTACGAGTTCTGGCGATGGGGTTGGTGGTGGAATGACTTTTTGATGTAAGAGCGCTATAATATATAGATAACCACTAAGATATGCAAGAAGTATTTTTTTTGTATCATTGTAATCTATGGTATAAACAAAGCACATTGTATTGTATGAGGGTGACACACTTCACAGTTACTGCTACTGAAATGTGTTTRTTAAAATGTAACAGTTTTGTTGGGTTTAATGAAACAAAAAAACCAATAAAACCAATCTATTTTATAATGTCATAGCTAGCATATTGTAATTCAGTGGCAGATCAAGAAATTTTAAAAAGKGGGGYTCCAAAATTGCCGCCATGCAGAAAGCTAGCATGATCAGCTTCACAAAGTGGATTCCATATTTATACTAATGAWCATAAACAACATGATTAGATTCACCAGATCTCACAAAGGGGGGTTCCAAGGGTYCCACGGAACCACTCCTAGGTCTGCTACTGTAAACATGTATGTCATTAAAGACAAGAAGTTGCTCTATATAATTGTTTTTTTCCTATATTTTTTGCTTCATACTTWTTATTTTGTTACAAAATGCTTGTATATTAAACAATTAGGCCCACAGCCAGAGTAGTCTACGAGTCAATAGCCCATGGATTGCTATTGACTTTTAGACCATGAGGGCGAGAGGTCTAAACCTACTAATCGGTCAAATAAATGGATACAAATAGGTTGAAATTTTGGAGATTTTCAAAACTGGCACTTTTTGCTACTAGTAGTCTATCGCTAATAGCCCACTAGTAGGCCAGCCAATCAGAGTATGGCAATTTTGATAGTCTATTAGAAGGTTTATACTAAATAGCCATATATATTCTTTAACAAGGACAGAGGCCACATGTAATTGAGGTCCTGTGTCACTGTTCTCTCACACCTCTAGATCTATCATCAATATGAAGTAAATAAGATAAAAAGAAAATCCCCTTAGTACAAATTAGGTCACAAATGTAAAAAAATTTGATAGTTTGCTTCATTTCTGAACCCATGTCAACAACAATAAACTTCTTAAATTATTCATATCTTCAATGTACATTTAGAAAGATTAACATATCAGAAAGAATGGTTGTGTACAAATTTTAATCATTTGCCTTTATAAAAGGTCAAATCTATAAAAAAAAGTTGTGTTTTTGTTTCCCAAAGGTCAAAATTTAATAAAACAAACACAACTCTTTTACTTAAGTTCTACATCTTAGGCTTTTTGAGTTTAAATAACCATTTTAGTAAGAAGCCACCTTAAGAGTTGCTAACTGATAGCAATTACCTTTAATATACTGGTATCATCAATTTGGGTCTCACAATAAACTGTCAGGTCAATTATCCCCCAAAAAAATAATTTCCCACTTTACACTATAATTTCAAGCATTATTGATAACACTGAAATATGAATATTTTTACTTTGCATCAAACAATAAATAAATCAATGAAGTAGTTACGAACGGAAGTATTTTTACACGTTTGTTTTTTTTCTAGTGCTTAAGGCTAGGGTTGAGGAATTCTCAAGTCAATGCCAAAAAAACTCACCACAATGCCTTGAAAATGTAGAAACTTTGACTACTCTTTTGCATTCTTTACAAATTACCAAACGAACTTCTTCTTGTGCAGGACATAAACCATACAAATTCATATCTGTGTGGAGAGAAATTCAATGTAACTCCTTTMTATAATTCATTGGTGTATAAGTTTTTTCAATAAGCTTACTCAGTGATCGAAATCTAATAAACCTTTTCTAAAAAAATTCTACAAAGCGCAAACAATGAAATCGTGGGTTTAAAATGAGCTCTATTTGTAGAAAAAAAATCAATCTGTTTAAGGGTTTAATGGTGTTTAGATGATGGGGGGTATAGAGGCACCCTTGAAGGTGCACTTTTACTATATATGATGGTACTACAGATAAAGCTCGTTCAAACCATGAGCCCATGGACATACAGGGGTAATGGTTTTGGACGATCAACCTGTGATGATCTCGGAAAAAATACTCAATCTTGACAATCRCGGAACAAAAAACTTTTTTATACATTTCGCTTGGAAAATCGCATCCAAGRATAGTTGACGAGAGCCATTTTCTTACCTTCACATCGCAAATGTGTGGCTTCACTGGGACCAAAAGTATTGTTTTCGTCCACTTCCATGGCTAAACACCGAAAAATAACACAACATTATCCCATGAATACTACGACAAATTCGCACTTTTTGACAAATCTAACTTGACAAATTGGTAGCTGGAAGACCATATTTACCTTCTGCCTCTTCTTCGGATGATTCCCCTTCGAAGGAACTCCAAGAGCTCCCCGAAAGTAGGGAATGACAGTRAATTTTCGCCATTACTACTTCATTCCTGATTTAGATGTTGCTTTCTCCTCTGTTTTTCTGACGTCACATTCGGAAACCGACGGAACTCCTCGGATCTTCGTGACCTCTTTATTAAAGCATCCGAAGTCGTTCCGACCTTTCAAAATGTCAAAATAATAGTGTCAGAGTTTGCAAAATAAAGGCCATGTCATTTTCAAAGCCGTTTTGACCTCGATTCTCGTATCTTCGTTCTTTATAGCGAAGATTAAAGTGTCCAAAATAATCAAAAGTCTTATTGGACTGATAGAAATCTCGCAAAAACTTCCCCCCGAGTGGCGGCCATCTTGAAACTCACCTCTTCAAAAATAAAGTTTTCGATTAAATCGCACTACTGAGACTCAGACTTCCTTTGRTTGAGCTGATTTGTGTTATTCTCTCTCTGGATGCTAGAAAGGTAGCAACATGACTATGCAAATACTGGAATCGTTGAAAACTTTCTGATACAAAGCATCGCCATGATTGTGTTAATTTTGCGACCTACGCCGGCGCATTTGGTCAGCGGTGATGGATAAACTACGCATGCACAACGAGGGAATTTTAAAAATCATGGCGGACAAAAAAGAAAAGGATAAAATTGTCTTGAGTTTTCACGATAGTTTACTGCATAATTCAGACGTATTGCTTCTTAATGAAGGGCAKTGGTTGAACGACAATCTTATTGGGTTCATGTTCGAGTGAGTAGTTTCGTCTCACAGTYATTTTCTCCGCAGTAGAAACCACTTTTGCACAGCGTAATTTATACCATTTGCAAAAATATATWAAAAAAAGGCAATACTCCATTTTACAGTTCCGTTCAGTGACCATGAATAATAGTTCCAAGCCGAGGTTGGAGTTGCCGCGCATRATAAAAAGTATAGTTTTGCTATGCGCGGAAACTCCAGCCTCCACTTACAGTAAAACTATTATTCGTGGTCACTGAACGGAACTGCAAAATGGAGTATTAAGYTCTTTATTTTTCATCTCTGTTTATGATTCTAAAATTTATGACTTTTTTAGGTACTTTGAATATGAACAATTCAAAGGTGCTTCAGAAAAGWTCGTGTTTATAAGTCCTGATGTAACTCAGTTTATTAAACTCGGGGATGGTAAGAACCCTAACAAATAATTGTTCATAGACTTGAACTGTATTGATGTTAAAATGTATGAAGGCATGCTACCTTTCTACACCACCCATACCACACTACAACACATAAG